TCCCGGCCCATCTACACACTAGCTGACCTTTCATTCATAATTCCTCAGACTCTTCTATGTCGGAGGGGTGTCACGTTGTCTTGCCTGCAATTAGATCAGCGCTGATGTTGCGTGTTCTATACTACACGACGACACAGCTTTCAAAGCCCCACAACATCTGAAACTGGTCCTAACCAACCCCCCCCCCCCCCCCCCCCCCCTTCTTACCCACAAACTGAGCTCCCACCATAGACTCTTTTCGAAGAAAGCAGAACAACGTGACACCCTTCTGACCTAGATCAGATTAAGAAAGTGTGTAGATAGGCCGGAAAACATGAACAGGTCCAACATGGTTAATGCTTGTCAAGACCTGCTTGCACCTCCAGCTGGTCAATCTAGAAACAGTTTGCCAACCGGACGCCTGGAATGGAAAAAAAAAGTCATATTTCTATAACAGGTGTGTGTGAAACACTCAAGTCTTCGAACAAGACCAAAGTTTAAAAAAAATGAACGGACAACCATAAGTTTTTTGAAGCAGTTTACAGCCGTCGAACGCGAATAGAAAGATGAAAAAATACAGACACCTACACCGAATGTTGAAGGAGGTTGATATTTCGTTTGTCAAAGCGATTGATTACGTAACTGTTCAGTGGTAGTTTCGTATTTACTGGTTGCTTCTTGATTTTTCTCCCTTAGTTTTATTTTTGTTCTCCGAGCGCCCTTTCTTTTTTTTTTTTTTTTTTTTTTCCAGTTCTTCTTCCTCGTCGTTGTCGTCGTCGTCCTCCTCCTGTTTCTTCTTTTTATTCTTGTTCTTGTTCTTGTTCTGCTTCTTCTTCTTTTTCTTCTTTTTCTTCTTCTTCTTTTCCTTCTTCTTCTTCTTCTTCTTCTTCTTCTTCTTCTTCTTCTTCTTCTTCTTCTTCTTCTTCTTCTTCTTCTTCTTCTTCTTCTTCTTCTTCTTCTTCTTCTTCTTCTTCTTCTTCTTCTTCTTCTTCTTCTTCTTCTTCTTCTTCTTTTCTTTTCTTCTTCTTCTTTTCTTCTTCTACTTCTCTTTCTTTCTTCTTCTTCTTCTTCTTCTTCTTCTTCTTCTTCTTCTTCTTCTTCTTCTTCTTCTTCTTCTTCTTCTTCTTCTTCTTCTTCTTCTTCTTCTTCTTCTTCTTCTTCTTTCTTCTTCTTCTTCTTCTTCTTCTTCTTCTTCTTCTTCTTCTTCTTCTTCTTCTTCTTCTTCTTCTTCTTCTTCTTCTTCTTCTTCTTCTTCTTATTCTTTCGCTTCTTCTTCCCCTTCTTCTTCTTCCTCTTCTTTCTTTCTCTTCCTTTTCTTCTTCTTCTACTACTACTACTACTACTACTACTACTACTACTACTACTACTACTACTACTACTACTACTACTACTACTACTACTACTGCTGCTGCTGCTGCTGCTGCTACTACTACTACTACTACTACTACTACTACTACTACTACTGCTGCTGCTGCTGCTGCTGCTGCTGCTGCTGCTGCTGCTGCTGCTGCTACTACTACTACTACTACTGCTGGTACTACTTCTTCTTCTCCTACTACTGTTACTACTACTAATTCTTTTCCTTTCCGTTTCTTCTTTCTCATTTTCTTTTTATTATTATCAATATTATTCATTTTCTTCTCCTGCTGCTGTTGTTGTTTTGTTCGTTGTGGTGTTTTTTAATTGTTATTGTCGTTATCAGTGTTTAGATTTAGGAATGGCTTTGGTAATGGTGGTAGAAATAGTGGGCATGTCGTAGATATTGGTGTTGATGCCGGCAATTCTGTCAGTTTGTTCGTTCGTTCGTTCGTTCGTTCGTTCGTTCACTGTAGTAGCAGCAGCATAAGTAACCAAATCCAACAGCTTAGCTAATATAATTAGAAGTGCTAAAACTTCGATGAGGTACAAGGTGGTAGAGAAGAAGAAGAAGAAGAAGGAGAAGGAAAAGGACAAAGCGACAGAAAAAGGGGGAAGAGGCAGTAAGAATAAGCTGGGTAAAGATGAAGAACAGGAAGGAGACAGAATCAGCCAGAGCAGAGGCTCTCAACCTTCCTAAGGCCGTGACCCTTCAAAACAGTTCCCTTGTGTTGTGGCGACCTACAGACAATTATTTTCTTTCATAACTCCAATGAATATGTGTTTTCTATGGTCTTATGCGATCCCTGTGAAAGGGTCGTTCAACCCCTCCCTCCCCCCCACCCCCCCCCCCCATCCCCTAAAAAAGGGTCGCGATCGGCAGGTTGAGAACAACTAAGCCGGAGAGTCAAAGACAGATCAGCGGATAAAAATAAAGAGAGCTGGTTGCATTAAACTCACCAGTATCTGTGGATGGCTCACCGACAGTGAACACGCTTGATTTGTTCCAGAAAAGAGGACATTCGCCAACAGATGGGCCTTTCCGATTCCTGCAAATTCCTCAAGACCAGGTCCTTTTTCCTACGAGACGCCGGCATTTTTCGGTGATATTTCCACGCCAAGCCATACATACCCTGATGGGGGGTACGTCTGTGTGTTGTCACTACTGTTATAAAGTCTTAACAGCCAACTAATTACGTGTCTTAACCAGCTCTTCTAACCCTCCAACCCTCTCCTCCTCCTCCTCCTCCTCCTCCTCCTCCTCCTCCTCCTCCTCCTCCTCCTCCTCCGTTTCCTCTCCTTTCCTTATCCTTATTTTGCTACTTCTTCTATTTATGAATTTAAAAAAAAAATGTTTTGCCATTTCTGCTTTTTCTTCTTCTTTTTCTTCTTCTTCTTCTTCTTCTTCTTCTTCTTCTTCTTCTTCTTCTTCTTCTTCTTCTTCTTCTTCTTCTTCTTCTTCTTCTTCTTCTTCTTCTTCTTCTTCTTTCTTCTTCTTCTTCTTTTTCTTCTTCTTCTTCTTCTTCTTCTTCTTCTTCTTCTTCTTCTTTTTCTTCTTCTTCTTTTTCTTTTTTTTTTTTCTTTTTCTCTTCTTCTTCTTCTCTTCTTCTTCTTCTTCTTCTTCTCTTCTTCTTCTTCTTCTTCTTCTTCTTCTTCTTCTTCTCTTCTTCTCTTCTTCTTCTTCTTCTTCTTCTTCTTTCTTTCTTCTTCTTTCTTCTTCTTCTTCTTCTTCTTTCTTCTTTCTTCTTCTTCTTCTTCTTCTTCTTCTTCTTCTTCTTCTTTTTCTTCTTCTTTTTCTTCTGCTTCTACTTCATCCTCTTTTTCTTCACTTCCTACTGATTAATGAATGAATAATCAACATCATAGCATACCGACAATACTTATAGATTCTCCGTCTCCAGCAGAAAATGTATTTAAGTATAGATGCTGACGTTTCGAGTTACACACTGATTAACCTACGACGCATTCATCCCCTCACACCCCTTTTCGTCCTGGATCCACACTGAATTCCAAAGTCACGAAGTGTCACACATCCTGTTTCATCTTTACATGGCATCTTTCTTCAGCATAGGTTTATAAATAGTTTTCATAATATTTGCCACGTGTTAACACTAAGCCACCAATCCTGGCACAAATACACACATCTCAGCCAGTAAACTTGACAAAGAGACAATTATTGGTCGGCCCTCATATAAAGAAGTAGAGCTATAGAAGGACACACTAGACAACATAAAAATCGAAACCTACTATTACCGTACCGGGAATAGAACCATGGAAACAAGCGTACTAACACAACCAACTAGGCACCCTCAAAAAAGGTGTCCTCATTGGCCACGTCTATCGTACAGCTTAAAATCCACAACTAAGGAATACGGACATAATCAATCTCAAACCATTTAAATGGCTCCATGAGTTACATAAATTTATATTAACGAAGCATATGTCGAATAACAAACACAACAATTTACAAGCACGGTAGACCGTAATGCTTTGTCTAGAATACACGAACATCTAAGAAAGAGATTTGATTGGTTATTTATATAGCCAATAAACTTGGGACACATAAACCCGACAGAATGCATAGGACTCTACCTTGTCCAAAAAGTGTTCCTATCACTGCTGCTTTTGTAGCCAAACAGTCTGTCTGTCCCAGGCAGGATATCCACGTGAGTTCCTGTAGTCGTGAAGCGCTGATGCTTCTTATCGATTCAGAGAACGTATATATTTTTTCAGCAATGCCGACTGAGAACCAGACACTATGTTTTCTCTGATAAATCTGTGTTCAGAGCGTTGTGCTATTATGGCTAGACTCTAGCCTGCCGATCCTAAACGATGGATGCTCACGGTACCGGACTTTATTTTCTTCCAAAAATGACTGGTTCTCGGTTCGACCCAGCCGTGACCAGGTAACGTCCTAGGAAGTAACGGCGGTCGGTGTGATGCTGCACATCACCCACCAAGTGCCTATTGGTCTATAAAGCAGGCGTCAAACCCTATAGGCACAGTATGCGTAAAGGGGTGGAAAAAAAACTTTGAGTTTACTTACTTCAGAGCGGCAGTTATTGCCTCCACCCCGACTCAGTGTTGTTGTTTTTTTTATTCAACGGATCAACATCATGACACACGTGTGCAACCCATAAGTGCTCCGTTCTACTTCTAACTCGAGCCTGAGTCTGAATAATCTCACAGCAGTGCACGAACTCTGCTGCACCGGCGAGGATCTTGAAAATACTTTGGGTAGACGTTTAACTCCAAATTTTGCATGGCTAGCGCCGTTAGGCTATTCTTTACGATTGTCAACTGCCGTTGACAGTTCACTTTTCCTGGCCAAGCTCCACACTTTCTCAGTCTGATCTAGGTCAGAGGGGTGTCAGGTTGTACTGCTTTCTTCGAAAAAAGTCTCTAGTGTGACCTAGCTTGAGGCTGTGGGTTTGGGGGGAAAGGGGGGGGGGGCTAGGGTTAGGGCCAGTTCTAGATGTTTTGGGTTCGTTAAAAGCTGTGTCCTTGTGTTGTATTGAACAACCGACATCAGCGCTGATGTAATTAGAGACAAGACAACGTGACACCCCTCCGACATTGAAGAGTTTGAGAAAGTATCAATGAAAGGTAGGCTAGTGTGTAGATGGCCCGGGAAAAGTGAACTGGACCGTTTCTTTGTCTAAAAGGTACACAACTCTATTTTCCTGGTGGAGCAAAGAACCCGTGATGCTGAAGTACCTAAGAAAGAACAACTGGGTGGACTCACACACTAAGGCTGTGATCATCAGTATGAACTTCATCAATGTCGACTCCGGCCTGGCCACCATTATCGAGCATGTTTATGAGTTTAGACTGAGTATGTTTGCTAGTTTTCTAATATGTCCTATTTCAAATAGCGCCGTTCTATGTGTCAATCTTTTAGTCAAGTTTTGAACCCGTCTTGATTTGAACCAAACCAACAACCAGTGACCATAAATAACCAAACTCATGAAAATGTAGAACATTTCATATATCTTGTCAGTGTGGTTTCCCTACTGGCAGGGACCGACGAGGACATACAGTCACGTCTTAACACAGCTAGAGCTGCTTTTGGAAGGATTAGACAAATCTGGAAATCCAACAATTACTCCAGAGGAACGAAACTCCAACTCTACAAGAGCATCATTTTGCCAGTTCTTCTTTCTGGAGCGGAATGCTGGAGAATGACCAAAAAGGATGCACACAAGCTGTTCACCTTCCACCAATCATGTCTACGTAGAATTATCAAAATTTTCTTACCAGATACAATTTCAAACACTAAACTACTTCCAGTCACAAACCAAGAAACTTTAGACAGTATGATAACCAAGAGAAGGTAAAAATGGCTTGTCCACGTTATGAGAATGAATCCTGATATACCTGCCAAAACAGTTTGTCTGCGTCTTTTCCACTTCCTCCATTGAGCTTTCTAGTCAATTTTTGGGTTATATTCAAAATTTCCTGCAATCACCTCGACTGCAGTCACCCCTGTTTACGTCATCACTGTGGATATTTGTATAGACCAGTCATCTCTCAGTAGGAAAAGATATAAACCCAAACGAAAAGTATATTGGTAAGCTTAACAATATAACAAATACAAACAAAATGTGATCGTTGCGGCTATCGGGCCTTCATGAGCACATACAAATTAAACAATGCTACACAGATACACAAAATCACTTAGCTGGTATCTCGATGCGGCCAGGTAGGTTGTTGCTCAGCGGAATGACCACACGTCTGACTGACTGACTTTCTACCCCACCAGGACATCACACAAGCGATAAACACCCGATCACACAAAGTGCCACCATGTGGATGAGGATCACCGTGGAGAGGTCCCAGAAACCGCGTTCAGACAATTGGCCATATTTATGGCCTGCCTATATTGCGGCCCCTGGCAAAAGCCAGAGTGGGACTTCGAATAACAAAAAATTACGTCCTAAAAAGGACGTAAGGATATTGTTGTAATCTTATAGTCCAAGAGTTAAAGTTTCTTCTAGTTTCTTCTAGTGGTCATAGCGCAGGTGAAAGGTTCACACAGCGGCCACCGGTCGGGTCTGTTACCTGGGATACCAGCTAATTGAATGCTGGGCGATTAACACAAAGGCTCCTGCAGAACACAAAGGATTCGGCAGTTGAGATATTTCCATTGTCCAAGTCGGACGTGTTTCCGCGGGGTTAGCGGAAACTGTGTTGGCTCTCTGTATGAGGATATTATAGAAACGTTTTCTCTTTGTGAGGTTTTGATTTACCGTTGTTTGCGGGAGACAGTTCAATGTCTATTTACTTATTTTAATGGCAGGAGCCCATTGAGAAAAGCTGCTGTAATCTTTTATATCATCAGAATAGATAATGGAGATTTATTATCGTACATGTTTTATTGAATAATCATCATCATCTTGTGACGTGTAACTTTAATGCCATTAAAGTTTATGTGGCCTGTCACAAGCGTTATTGTTGGCTTGTAAAGGTAGCGACTGTATTACATGATGCTGTGTCGGTGCCAAGTGTGCCAGTTATAGAATGCAGGACTTCACTGTAGCACATCCATCAAGGAGATATCCAGCGGAATACTAGAATAGGCACCCTAGGCCTAAATACTTGGTTGAATATAAAGTATACAAAAGAATGTACAAATTAAGTGTACAACAGATATGACCACACTTGTCAGCTGGGGGAAAAAATACCCCCCTGTTGAGTATCAGGGGCCATAACTAGGGTGTAGGAGTTGAAACTGTGAGTTCAGTTCAATCCCTGGAAGTTTAAATGAAACTGTGTCTCTCAGTAGGGGATGACGTCCATTTCGGTCCGACCTTTATTTTACATGACATTATCTGAGTCCCTTTCTATGATGGGTCGACCTCGGAGTCAAGGTCGGTTTTGAATCTGCCTGGATTTGAAACATAGACCTTCGGGTCGACAGGTGGGTATCTAGCCGCTACACCACCACCTCTCCCTGTATCTTGTTAAATGCTGAATTACGAATCGACATCACAGCACTCGGGACACCCCAAAAAGTGTTCAGTCCCCCATCTTCAACAGCAAGCGATGAGGTTCTGTTCCAATGGTACCAGTAACTGTCTGATTGTATTTCCGTCTCATCCTGTTCCTTGAGTGTTGAGCGTCGGCCAGATCTCCTGGTCACTCCACGTTGCGCCATTGATCTTAAACCGTAATTATCTATCTGCGCCTCCGCACTGTTGACTTGTTCCTAACAAGCGCTCTTGAAAACCTTAAAAGTGTGATAGAAATTACAATAACCCGGCCCCTGTCTTGTCTTCTGCCAATACTATTGTTAAGGACGTTAAGAGAGGTAAGCGCTGGTCATCACCGTGGTCATCTCTCTCACTCTCTCTCACCCTCTCTCTCACACACACTCTCTCACTATCTCTCTCACTATCTCTCTCACTCTCTCTCTCTCACTCTCACACTCTCTCTCCCACACACTCTCTCCCACTCTCTCTCTCACACTCTCTCTCTCACTCTCTCTCACCCTCCCTCTCCCCCTCTCTCTCATACACTCTCTTTCTCACTTTCACACTCTCTTTCTCACTCTCTCTCACACACTTTCTCTCGCTCACTCTCTCTCTCACTCTATCTCTCTCACTCTCTCTCTCACTCTCTCTCTCTCTCTCTCTCTCTCTCTCTCTCTCTCTCTCTCTCTCTCTCTCTCTCTCTCTCTCTCTCTCTCTCTCTCTCTCTCTCTCTCTCTCTCTCTCTCACCCTGGTGTTTAACATGGCCAAAGTAGTTCAGCTTTCGGAACAAGATGCTGTTAATGAGCCAGTTCACTGCATGTGACTGCACAATACCGTTTATATTCACAGCCGGCATCTTCATGTACACATACGACATATACACATTTCCGCTGAAAATCACACAAGGCAAGGAATTCGCCCTCTCCTGCCTGGTCATGTTCTTGGCATTATTGACAGCCTATTTTCTTATCAACGAGATCAGAGCTGTAAGTTGTCTCCCTTCTCACGTTTATAGGTGTCAAGTTTTTTGTGTGTGTTGTCGTTAGACTTTAGGAAGATTGGCTAATAAACAGCATCCTGTCTCTGAAGGTAAAATTTTGATCATATCAAGCGCCACGTCGGACTGAAAAAATTAATAGCAGAAGGCATGGTACCAGGAAGGAAGGGCAGGGGCCGACCGACACGAAGATGGGCACAAGATATAAGTGACTCCTTGAGTGTGAAAGTACATGAGGCGGGAGAGCAAGCGTGAGACCGAGTTTCTTTCAGGCAGACCGTGATGAGAGCGACGTTCTGCATAGGACCTGCTACATGATGATGATGATGATGAATATGACTTTAGTAATTATGTATGTTTTCTTTAAGCCCAACAAAGAAACAGACAAACAGACAGACAAACAAACAAAAAACACACTCATGAAGATCTACGCGCATGTTTGATAATGTTTAGCTCCACACATACACATACACACACACACGCACACACCACACAAATACCCATGTATGTTCGGTTGTGTCTAGCTCCATAGACAAATCTTGTTATGTTTAGCTCCACACACACACACACACACACCACACATAAATACCCATGTATGTTTGATTATGTCTAGCTCTATACACAAATCTTGTTATGTTTAGCTCCACACACACATACATACACACACAAATACGCGATATGTTTGGTTATGTCTAGCTCTATACACAAATCTTGTTATGTTTAGCTCCACACACAAACACGCACACACACACACACACATACACACACACACACACACAGACTCGCAGACACGTATGTTTGGTCACATGTATCTAAACACACATACACAAACACACTCTCGCGAACAAATATGTTTGGTCTCTTTTATCAATATACACATTCATAAACACTCGCATACACGTATGTTTAGTCACATTTATTTATGATATACACATACATAAACACACACACACACATACTCGCACACACGTATATTTGGTTACATTTATCTATGTACACACACACACACATTCTCACACACGTATGTTTGGTCACGCTCATATATATATATACATACACACACACATACACTCACACACCACATACACACACACGTGTATATATACACAAGTCAATATTTTGAGAGCATATATCTACCCTGTAGCAACATACGTCTCTCTATCGTCGTGGTCTAATCTTAGCTAATATCAGAGAACTAAAATATGTACACTTTTTGAATATACAGACAATAGAAACACACTGTCGTTTAATGAGAATAACCTGTGCGGATTGCGGAACCCTATTATAGGGGAAACCCAAAAGCATGTCGTAAAAGTAAACTAATTGGGAACTTCTTTCGAAGTCGGAGTGCATCTGCCCGAGAGGCAAGGAACCAGCAGTCTGCATACAAATGAGTCAGATCTGTAAAACGGATGCACTCCCAACACTCAGGTTCTGGAACAGGACTGCATTTAAAAAATGGATAAACAACCAGAACTTTCCGCTAGAGTTTACAGCTGGTGCAGCTGGTGAACGCGAAGAAGAAGAAGATGAAGAAGAAGAAGAAGAAGAAGAAGAAGAAGAAGAAGAAGAAGAAGAAGAAGAAGAAGAAGAAGAAGAAGAAGAAGAAGAAGAAGAAGAAGAAGAAGCAAAAGCAGTAGCAGAAACAGAAGAAGAAGTAGCAGCAGCAGCAGCAGCAGCAGCAGCAGCATCAGCAGCCTGAGGTAATATACCTTAAATAGTTTGAATAAAATTTAGACATTTCCCGGGGTGAGGGTGGGGGGGGGGGGGGGTCATTTGTAATATATTAAATGAAAATTGCATTTAAAATATATAAATATATATATATATATAAAAACTCTCTCAGTCCCTGAAGATTATAGCTGATGCCACAGGGTCCAAATACTCAGCACACTGCGGGTGACTTGTGTTGTTGGGTTAATTTAGTTTTGCTGACAACACTTAAGATGTATACAGCACACTGCGGGTGACTTGTGTTGTTGGGTTAATTTAGTTTTGCTGACAACACTTAAGATGTATACAGCACACTGCGGGTGACTTGTGTTGTTGGGTTAATTTAGTTTTGCTGACAACACTTAAGATGTATACAGCACACTGTGGGTGACTTGTGTTGTTGGGTTTATTTAGTTTTGCTGACAACACTTAAGATGTATACAGCACACTGTGGGTGACTTGTGTTGTTGGGCTTATTTAGTTTTGCTGACAACACTTAAGATGTATACAGCACACTGTGGGTGACTTGTGTTGTTGGGTTAATTTAGTTTTGCTGACAACACTTAAGATGTATACAGCACACTGCGGGTGACTTGTGTTGTTGGGTTAATTTAGTTTTGCTGACAACACTTAAGATGTATACAGCACACTGTGGGTGACTTGTGTTGTTGGGTTAATTTAGTTTTGCTGACAACACTTAAGATGTATACAGCACACTGTGGGTGACTTGTGTTGTTGGGCTTATTTAGTTTTGCTGACAACACTTAAGATGTATACAGCACACTGTGGGTGACTTGTGTTGTTGGGTTAATTTAGTTTTGCTGACAACACTTAAGATGTATACAGCACACTGTGGGTGACTTGTGTTGTTGGGCTAATTTAGTTTTGCTGACAACACTTAAGATGTATACAGCACTCTGTGGGTGACTTGTGTTGTTGGGTTAATTTAGTTTTGCTGACAACACTTAAGATGTATACAGCACACTGCGGGTGACTTGTGTTGTTGGGTTAATTTAGTTTTCATGACAACACTTAAGATGTATACAGCACACTGTGGGTGACTTGTGTTGTTGGGTTAATTTAGTTTTGCTGACAACACTTAAGATGTATACAGCACACTGCGGGTGACTTGTGTTGTTGGGTTAATTTAGTTTTCATGACAACACTTAAGATGTATACAGCACACTGCGGGTGACTTGTGTTGTTGGGTTAATTTAGTTTTGCTGACAACACTTAAGATTTATACAGCACACTGTGGGTGACTTGTGTTGTTGGGTTAATTTAGTTTTGCTGACAACACTTAAGATGTATAAATATACAAAACATGTTTACTGGTGGTACACACGGGTAATTTCAAGTACACATGGTGCTCTGATTGAAACTAAGAGGGTTAACAGAACATTGCATTCATGAACGAAACAATAGGAATATGTTGTGTTTTTTTAAGGGGGTTGGGGGGGGGGGGGTTTCCTGAAAGTTGTAATTCGCTTTGATATAGGTTATTTCGTTTATACCTCAATCCTGCACAGCTTAGTAAAGTAATATTGTTGTTTGTCTGTCTGCAGTGCTACCAGACTGGAGCATGGGAGTACTTCAAACAAAGCCAGTCTTGGTTTCTGATCTTTGAACGGGTCTTATCAGTGTCGGTGCTAGTCATCTTCTTCTGGTTGCAGTCGGATAGACAAGGCAAGGTATGCATTGCCATGACAGTAAAGTAAGTAACTAAATGTAACTAAGTAACACGAATGATGAGAATACATTGGTCCGATAAAAAGAGTATTGAAGATATTTGGAAAGAAACTGACTCACGAAGAGAATTGATTGCCCACATCGGAAAGAGACAATCTACATTCTTTGGTTAAATTATGAGAAGGAAAAAACTGGAGTGCATCGTGACAGACGGAAAGCTGGAGGGGAGGAGAGGCAGAGGGAGACCGAGAGAACAGATGCTGGACAGTTTGACATCATGGCATGGAGGATCATCTGTGTCAGTGTTGACTGGAAGAACACGAGACAGAAGATTGTGGATAGGCATGACTACCAACACCACATGGCAAGAACTTGAAGAAGAAGTAACCAAAGGACCCTTTTCCGCGACATAATGCATTTTGGACAAGTATGGCTGGACTTATATTTTATAGACCAGTCGTCGCCGGGTGGGTGGTGTGGTTAACATTACGCCGGCCGCCTTGGCTTCCCATGACTTTACCTGGTACTCATTTAAGGCCGCGTAGCTCTGGTAGCCAAAGTCATTTTTGAGAAGATGTCCGGCTCCCTCCGGGTTTGAACCCACGACCTTGAATCCGCAGGCGAGCGTCTAGACGCTAAATCACGATGGCTCCCATATATTGCAAGTAACTATATGTATTTTCCGCACGTTCCCTAACTGGGAAAAATATTTTTTTTTTGGGGGGGGGGGGGGGGGGGGGGAGGTAAAAATAGTAGCGGCACATATTTGTTTAGCATTTCGTTTCCTCGGAAACGAGCATATGGCGGAGCGGTTCGAACGGTGGGCTCTCAAGCGAGTAACCCAGGTTCGAATCCACGGTAAGGCTGGGGATTTTTTTTTTTTTTCGTCGGAGCAAAATAAAATCCTCACCTGCACAGTCGTGGCGACAGCACTAGCTATGCGGCCGTAATCCTCAGGCTGGAGCACCCCCTGCCTACACCGCGTACTACTGTACTAGACACGCGAGGAGTGCGCAGACACCTTTTATTAGACATTATGTGGTGATTACAAGCATTTTTTTTTTAATAGAAAAAAAAAAATTGAGAAGAAACGAAGACCCAAGTAAGACTGTAACCGAGCATCTAAGTCACAAAGAGGAGAAAGTAAGTAAAGGTTCCTTTTCCACGCCTTTGAGGCATATTGGGTATATAGGGCTAGACCTATATTTTGTAGACCAACGGCACCAGATTGGTGATGTGATCAGCATCACGCCGGCTGCCTTTACTTCCCCGGACTGCATCTGGAACCCACTCATGGCTGGTAGCCAGGATCATTTTTGAAAAAAATCCGGGAAAGACAGAGGATGAGGGAGAGTAAGTGCCTCATTCCGTAATAAATATTTGTGTGCAATTCAACAGTCTTAATTAAGTGGCTTGGTGTTTTGTTGAGTTGAGTTGAGTCAAGAATTGACATAACACACTCGGGGCATTCCCATGCCTGCTCCGTCCTCATCTTCGGCAGTGTTCCAATACTGATGGCACCGGTCACATTCTAGTTACATGTCATTTAAGCCTTTCCTCTGAGTGTAGTCAGCCGGCCAGACCCTCTGGTTACACACAGGTGCCTCATTCTCTCCAGACACGTGGCTTGCTGTAAGTTGGTTGATAGTCTGGGCCAGTTGTTCCCAACTTTTTGACTCCATGAGATCTCTTCAGCTTTTCGGAAGCAGTTTCTTTGGCCTTATCAAGGAGGGAACGTGACATACAATGTATAACAGGAAAGCTCACTTTTGTTGTCTGTAAATAATATTCAAACAAGTCGCAGCAGATTCCTTATTTCGTCATAATATTTTTAATTTCTTTCAAATTGTTGATTTCTTGAGTACCCGCGGAGCCCATGAGATGTGCACGCAGAGCCATTCTTCGTCGTCATCTATAACTTCTTCTTCTTCTTCTTCTTGCTTATTGAACCACTTAGGAATCACGCATGGGGGGGGGGGGGGAAAGATGCTGTGTCTCTAGCCACACCATTGCTTCTGTTACCACCATGACCTCCATAGTCAGACTACTTGCAGTTGACGCAAAAGCCAATCTCTTCTTTTACAGTTTACCCCCGAATCAGAACCGTGTAAACTCATGAACTTTGTACGCGCTGAACGACGTAATCGTCAGTTCAGACAACTGCACCTCCGTCAGCAGAATTGTTTTAGAATTGAAGCTTGAACATCCGCCTTAACCACAAGTATGTTTTTCTGTCACTGTTTGCTCTACACGCCAACGGCGTGAACAGGTACTTTACTAAATTACTTCTGATATTCATTTGTTCTTCAGCTACGGCAAGTCCACGAGGCCTACCTGACAGAGAGGGACGGCACAGCGTTCATTGACTTCCACGTCGTGTCACAGAACACGTTTATGCTGATTCTTGTCAGTTCCATGCTGGTCATCGTCTGCTTAGTCAAAGTGTTAGTGAGATTCCGGTGGGTGGTCATTTGTACGTTCAGTAGGTTTTTCTCAGACAAAGGTTATGGTGCAAGGTGTCAATGACCGACCTACAGTCTACATTGACGGTGACAAGCTTGAGACAGTAGACCATTTTACCTATCTGGGTTCCACAGTGAATAGTAAACTATCGCTGGACCAAGAAATCAACATCAGGATAGGTAAAGCAGCAACAACAATGAGCAGATTGACGAGTTGTTGTTTTTTCCCCCACAATTAAAACAAAAACCCTTGTCTATCATGGTTGTGTTCTCAGCCCTCTGCTTTATGGCAGTGAAACTTGGTCAACCTATTTGCACCAGGAGAGACGGCTAAATAGCTTTCACATTCGATGCCTGAAAAGAATACTTGGAATTAAGGGGCAGGACAAAATCACAAACACTGAGGTACTGGAAAGAGCAGGCACTACAACAGTCTTTACCATGCTCAGTCTACGAAGGCTCAGGTGGCTGGGTCACACCTGGAGAATAGAGAATGACAGAGTCCCCAAGGACAATCCTTTATGGTGAATTAAAGACAGGAAAAAGATGTCGAGGCCGACCTCTACTACGGTATAAGGATTTATGCAAGCGGGATATAAATGATACAGTTATTGCGTTGGACTCATAGGAACAAAATGCCATGGACCGTGTTGTGTGGAAAGGGCATATCAGGAAAGGAATGAGAGTAAAGGAAGAAAAGATTGCAGAAAGGATGAGAGCTGAGTGTCTGAAAAGAAACGGATTAAACACAAATGTTGACAACAATGGTCCTGAAATCCCATGCTATCATTGTAGAAGACTTGTCTTAACCCAGGCGAGTCTTGCTAGTCACACTCGCCATCGCCATGGGCTATGAGTCCCATGCCTCCTCATAGCGCAATATAACACTATCGTCTGGAAAGATGGAAGGGTGCCAATCAATCATGTTTTTCTCACTCCACGCCTTTAAGGGTGTTAAGCATAAAGTGCTTGATCAAAATAGTTATAGGCCAATCAGCATTCGCTGGGTTATGTTGTCAAAATCACGCCGGCCACTTTTACTTCCCTTGAATTTACCTGGTATCTTTTTAATTCTAGGTCGACCTGGGAGCTGAAGTTGTTTTTGAAAATAATTCCAGCTCAAGCATAACCTGAACCCATATATTAGAGTTATACTTGAACTCCCCTTTCTTTCCTTTATCTACTCCTTCTTGTTCTTCTTCTTGTTCTTCTTCTTCTTCTTTTTCTTCTTCTTCTTCTTTTTTTTTTCTTCTTCATCTTCTTCTTCTTCGTCTTTATTATTATTATTATTATTTTCCTTCTTCTTTTTCTTCTTCTTCTTCTTCTTCTTCTTCTTCTTCTTTTCCTTTTTCTTCCCCTTCTTCATCTTCTTCTCCTTCTTGTTTTTGTTCTTCTTCTTCTCCTTCTTCTTTTTCCTCTTCTTCTTTTTCTTCTTTTTCTTCTTCTTCTTCTTTTTCTTCTTCTTCTTCCTCTTCTTCTTCTTTTTCTTCTTCTTCTTATTCTTTTTCTTCTTCTTCTTCTTCCTTTTCTTCTTTTTTCTTCTTCTACTTCTTCTCATTCTTCGTCTCTTCCTGTTTTTTTCTTCTTCTTTACTGAAAACAAATAAATAAAATTAAGCTATACATAGAGAAAGTAAGCTATTTATTTTGTAAATCCCTACAGCGACTATGAATTACTGGCAGATTTTGTCAACTTGATCCCCGCCGCGGCCAAAGTTACCTACATACCCATTGTGTTCATCATCGGGTTCGGTCTTCTGGGATGCCTCTTGTTTCAATCACTGGTGGCGGATTATAAAAGCATCTACACCGCCTGCGTGTCCGTGACGATTCTACTTCTAAAGAGCGACCCCATCATGACCATTGTGGAGGCCGCCCCAGTTGCAGGACAACTCTTTATTGCTGCTGTGTATTGTATTATGTTCTTTCTGATACTTAATTATTTTATTGGTTTGCTAAATGATGCGTACTCAGAATTCAAACACAAGGGCAAGAAGGACTCGGACGATGAGGGTGAGGGATAACCTTCTTCTTGGTCTTTTTCTTCTTCGCTTCCACCGGTTGTAAACTCTCTCGGAAAGTTCTGGTATTTCATCCACTTTTGGACTGCAGTCCTGTTCCAGAATCTGAGTGTGGCGATTGCATTCGTTTTACAGATCTGACACATGTGTATGCAGACTGCTGGTTCAATGCCTCTCAGGCAGATGTACTCCAACTTTGAAGAAAGATCCCAGTTAGTCGACTCTTGCGACATGCTTTTGGGTAGGCAGTGGGTTATTCTTGTTTTCCCTATAATAGGGCCCCGGAACCCATAAGGGAAAACTTCTCCTGAAAGTCTATGCCGTTTGGCGTTGGTAGTCGTGTCTACCCACACCCTTCTGCCTCGTGTACTTTCAATCAACACAGATGATCCTCCATGCCATTATGTCAGACTGTCCAGCATTTTTTCTTTGTGCACATCTGCTTCCTATACAACTTTCGTTTGCCTGTCGCATGTCGTTTCTAATCTGAATATTTATCTCTCTATACTTATCTGCTAGT